CCTCTCTAGCACTCTCAATTCCGCTGTCATATTTCTAGGGATTGTGCTGTATTTTTGTCAGTCCCTTCATTTTGATTTTCTGTATTTCACAGGAGTGAAATCTTGCTCAGCACTCTGCTAGGTATTTGTATGTCAGGACAAAGACATATTTTGATTATGACCACTGCTCTGAAGATGGGATCTTCTGGCAGAGTTTGGGGTCCCAGAGTGACCCCAGGCAGAACTTGTCCTTCACTGTATCTGTTACCAGTCTGCAGCACCCAGGACCCCACTAAAGCAGTAGGCACTGGTAGACAATATGGGACCTAACTGTAACAGGGTGGTACCTAGGAAAAAGGGAAGTTCCAGGTTCCCTGCCCCACCCAGAAGGAGGGTGGAGCTGAGCAGAGAAAAAGAAGAGAAGGATGCAGGATGGAGAAGGAGGAGACCTAAGGAAGCCACATGGAACAGCAAGCATGTGATGAACAAACCGTGCTTGTTTCCTGACCTTGGACTGGTTAAGGCAGATGTGGGTGAGATACCTGTAGGGAGGTGACTACGGCAGTGTTTATATTGATTTTGATTTTGCTCTTTTGCCCCCAGATTTGTCTGGCCATTTCTGACCCTTTTCCATGGGTCCCGGCCAGAAGGTGCTTTAGTGTTGTGGCGGCTTTCAGGCCTTGCTTTGGACCAACCCCTTTTGGGTTGATTTTTGCACACGAGGGGATGGGTAACTTCAGGTGTTTGATTTAGAAGTTATATTCTTTGTGTTCCGTATTGTATATTTACTGTATTAAAGTCCCTTTTCATTGAAGTTTTATATGTTTTGTCTTGTTGCGGCGGATGGCAGAACCCACTTAGAGCAGGCAGGTTTTAGGGCTTAGGGCTGCCCCTCTCCCCTTGTCCTATAACATATTTTGTCCTGTAACAGATTTGATGTCCTATAACATAACTTCAACATTCAGGAAGTCTGTGTGACTTGGCAATGTCACCCTCCTCAGAGTTGCCTGCCATGCTGCAGTTATTGTCAGCAGTTTGACCTCTTTGTCTTACAAAACTAATTTGCTGTGTATTTGTCCCCTAGTCACCTGTGGGCCCAGCTCAGATTCTGCTAGGAAATCGATATGACCTTTCTTATGCCCCCAGCTACCTTTCAGAGTTTGAATAATGTGTCGTTCATAGAAGCAAACATTTTTTTCCTTCAATTATATCAACTTTTGGTCACTATGTTTTACTCACCACCAGGATCACATGAAATTACCTCACATCTGTCCTCAATTACCTTACTTTATGGTTAGGACTTCTCAGATATATCGCCTCCCCTTCAATTCTCTGTATTTTCTTTTCAAGTGTATTAAATACATGTTTGTGTCTCACCTGCCTTTTTAAAGCTGAGTTCTTTTTGTTTCAAAATGTATTGAAGAAAATAAATGGAGCATTCTGTCATTAGCACCACACAGGAGCTAGATGTTTTTAAATATATATGAACACCTTTTATTTGATCTAATCATTTATACCCTACCAAATTGGCAAAAGAACTTCAGGCAGTTTAGGAAGCTAAATAAGGGACATCATCTGAGCATCAATTAAAACCAGGTGCAAAAAAAGCATATAAAAATGGAAAGCAAACACTAACCTTTAATCGTAGGGCTGTCAGATAAACCTGCAGAAGCCATTTTGAGTCTTGCTTAGTCAAAGTGCTGTATGATGATACATTCTTCTGTCAATTTATTAGTGTAGCAGGTCACTGATAGGCTGGCAAGCTAGCAAAAAAAGTCTCAGGAGATAATTGACCTGTGTCTCTATTAAAGACTCAGAAAGCCAATTAAAGCCTTGTATGTGAAGGGCTATAATTGGATACTTATTGGAAATGCACCACAGCATGTGAGAGATAGTGACGGGATTGCATGGTGGGACATTTTATTTTTCTGCCCTCTCATATGAAAACTGGGGAATAGTTTTCAATATTCTCTTGCTTGGACTTTTGAAGTTCACCAACCAGAGAAAAATATCTTCTTTAAAGGGCTGAGAAATGTCTGCAAATTATCTGTGCTTGTAAATTCTGATTAGTTAGAATTAATCTGAGTAGAAAATTATGAGGCTTTGCTGAAACCCCTTTTGCATTCCTGTAAGGGTAGGTGAATTAAAAGAGAATCCCTCCAAATTAAGATAAATTTCCTGTAAAACAATCTGGTATTGTCAAGTGAGGATAGAATAGTCAGGGAAGCCAATATTAAATACTCTATAGGGTTTTAAGTAAAACTCTAAGCTGTGTTCTTGTATGTAAGGCAATTTTTCTTCTTTTTTCCTCTCATATATGGCATGTTCATTCAATAGGTTCTTCTTTTATCCTTTTCCCTTGCTGATTTGTCAAAACTTACTAACATGTTGGGCGTTTTTAAAAGGCCTTTCCCAAATTCTAAGTTCCACACTCCCCACTCCATGAAAATAGCGATGTCCCTGGTGAGAAATGCTGGGTCAAATTTCTTTCTTTCTGCTTATGGCCAACCATAAGCAGATATTCTAACTAAAAATTAGGACAAATGTGAATATGCCAACAGTCTCAACAAAAACTAGAAAAAACCTATCGATCGATCATGAAAACGGTCTACGTGACCATGTTCAGTTTTTGGTGGCACTTCTGTGATTCAGTTTCAGTAATGGCCATGAAATGGTAAGCGATAACTCCTCTGCAGCTAAACAGCACATTTTTTTCCTTTATTTTTTTTCCTTTTTTCAATAGTTTATTTTCCCATTATTTTGTAAACAGCTCATTTTGGAATAAAAGAGTGGAGTATTTGTAATTCAAGATGTTCATAAACGAACTTTTTTAAAGGATAAATTCTTGCACTGTAGTAAAGCAGAAGCATCCTATTATAAAAGAAGGGTCTATTTTGAGAAAAATTCAGTTTTTTGGAAGATAAGAACAGTAACTACAGCACTGACAGTTGTCCTGGGTTATCAGAGAAAGATGCTCCTAGTGAGCAATGTGGAGGTCTGCTAGTTTCTTACCTGACCCAAACTCTCCCTTTTTTTCCTTCTTGGGTCTGCTAAAGTACAGGATAAATCGATCCTTTCCCCTAAATCTCAGATTTGTCATGTACAAATGTAAGGGAAATGCCTCAGCAGAAACATTGCCAAGTCAGTGGACACTTACTTGAGAGAGTCTGACAGTATGTATGCAGTCAGACTTGGGGAGATTGTACATGATCTTGATTGCTAGGAATTTGAGATGAAGCTCTCAGGACAGTTAAACTGGTCTGAATTGGAGGCAATAGGGAACACCTGTAAGGACAGTGCTCTGTATGCCCCAGAGAAACTCATACTGTATTTGTGAATGGCCCCAATTTGCAGTATTGGAGACCAGGGTCAGATATTAAGAACTATAAAAGAAGGTATCCAGGAAGTAAGAAAAAAAATGTTAACATGAGTTTCTATTTAATATCCTAAAGACCCAGTGTCTACAACCAAACAGTCACCTGGATGATCTGCTTGTCACAGAGAACTGGATTTTAAAATCTACTTCCAAAGATGTATGTTCTGCTCTCTGAGGGATTTTTGAATAGTTAAAGAGTTCCTAGTAGAGAAATTTCTGTACAACTGGCTAATGAGTAAGAAGACATTTAGAAGCCAGTATTTGATGGGAAATTACCTAAATTGGATAAGTGCTCTGTCCTGGCTTGTGGTTTAGGCCTGTGGAAAGTATTCACAACCATCTTACTGGTAAATTACTAAAACTGCAAAAACAATGAGTTTGATGCATCCAAAAAAAATTTATAAGTGACTGCCAGGGCAAACATTCTAGCAAGCACTGGAGTGATCTGTATTTTGTAAAGTTCAGAGCACAGACGTAAGATGTAACTCTTGCCACTGACAAAAATCTAATTATTAAAGGGCTAAGTCCAAGGCAATATGAAATACAGCCCTGTGATTCAGGTTAGCTGACATATGACCAGTAAAAGTCATTGCCCATGTGAATGCACTGAAAAGTCTATGGATGACTCACAGGAGTTTTGATGCTATGACAAGCCCAGATGTCTGACAGGTTAGACATCTTGGAGGTGCAGGGCTACCTAGACAAGGGGACATTAGAGGACACTGCCTTTAACCTGAGCATCGCCCCAGGCTCCACCCTTTCAACAAGCCCTCGAATGTGAGGAATTGTCTCTGCCTCCAGTGGGCAGGTGCTTATATTAGGCCTCTACCCACTTACCAAGGCAGTTACGTACTTGTAGCTGCCAGTAGCGCAGGTGTTATGGTGGTTCTCCCAGCCGCCAGTAGCCACTCCAGGGTCCACAGTTGCCATTTTCTGCAATATGATGTTCAGACACTTCTGTGTCTGACCCCAAGCACAGGTGGTGATCTGAAGTATGAATGACTTTGCACCTTTCCTAACCCCGGGCAATGAACAGAAGGGTGGAATGGTCTCATTTTCCAGCTCTGGCCCCTCCCTCGCCATTACTTTTCAATAGATTTAAAGCCTCTTGAAAGTATTATCTTCTTAATAACCATGCACTCCTTACCGTGTTGTATCCCATGTCATCTCATGATGAATAAAACAAAGGGGTGTATTAAGATGGAGTACAGAGTAGACTCCAATCATCACGTGGTCTGGATCCCCAGGTATATCTGTAATTGGCTACCGTCACCTGGTAGGCAGCCTGAGCCTTTCTTTTTCAAATCACAACTGGGGAAGCAGAAGGGATTTTTTTTATTGACTGAACCTGGGACAGACAACAAAGTTCATTAGGAAGAGCCCTCAAGTAAGTTATCAAAATTAAAACTGTTCCTTTAATACACACTTGTGCATTGTTTGTGAATGCCTCCAGTGAATAGAGGACATTCTTTAAAAGCCCAAGGTATAAAACGTATGCATTATCTGAGAAAGTTAAAAAAGAAACTAATTGAAAAGTATGCAAATTAAAAGGATTATTCAAAAGCATCTACAATACCAGTAAGTTTCAATGGAATATTTTATTCACATGTTAGTTGTCTTTTTAACATGTACACATACACACGGACACACTCAGTTTGGTCTGCGTGAACAGGGTTGTCTAAATATCCTAAGGAACATGAAAAATTAAAAAATATATTAATTTTTCATTGTTGTACCAATTACATCCACATCACTTACAAAGCTATCACTGGGTCTGTCCACAGAAGCAGAATGGCATAGGAAGAGGGAACTTGTAAGGGCAATTGAACAGTGACATAACTGAGATCTCAACATGAGAAAAGCTGACAAAACAGATTTTTGCTATTAAATTTGTTTGCAAAAGATGGAAAAGTCAATGGGCACTAAATCAGAGAAGATGAACTTTTATTGTGGCCAATTCTCACAGTATTGTGCAGTAACATCAAGAAAAACACTTAGTCCTTCTCTGGGACTAGTTTCAGAACTTTTCCAATTGCGATGGTCTTACCCTCATCTCTTAAAGTAAAACGACCCATTTGAGGAAAATCTTTGAATGTCTCCAGGCAGATAGTTCCTGCAGTCCTTAAACGGGCAATGCACACTTGATCTTGCTTCACAAAGCGGGGTCGGATCTTACTTTTTTCTCCAGATTTTTTGTCTACCAAGGAGATTAAGGCTGTTATCTCAACTTCCTCAATACAGGTATGAATGTGCAGCACCGCATTATAACCTGGGCAGATGATGGACTTGTGCTCAATGATCACTATCTGCACATCAAATGTACGTCCAGAATGGCACAGATTACTCGGGTCACAAAGTATGAATCCTGGAAGAATCTCCTCTTCTTCAATTCCTTTCAGTCTGATTTTAAGGTTCTCGCCTGGGGCAACACAGTCAGTTTCAGCATCATCAGAAAGGATTCCAAGAACCTCCACACTGTGCTTGTTTGGCATCATCACAAGCTGCTGCCCTTTACAAATGGACCCCGATTCCAGCTTTCCCAGGACTACGGTGCCCATATCCTTGTACTTATCCACGATTGGCAGTCTAATTGGTCCACCAATCGATCTGTTGAAGTTTGGCAAGTTATCCAAATACGGAATAAACGGCAGTCCAGTGTACCAAGGGCAAAATTCTGACTGCTCTTTAATATTTGCCCCGGTCAGCCCGGAGCACGGCATGAAGTGAATGTCCTTTTTGGGACTGAAGCCAACTTTTTTCAAAAAGGGCACCAGTTTCTCCTTACATTCTTCGTATCTCTCGCTGCTCCAACTGACTGTGGGGTCATCCATCTTATTAATAAGCACAATTAAATGCTTTACCCCTGCTGTTTTTGCCAGCATCGCATGTTCTCTGGTCTGTCCACCTTTTTCAAATCCAGTTTCAAACTCTCCTTTCCTGGCAGAAATTACCAGTACAGCCAGATCAGCTTGAGAAGCACCACCAATCATATTTGGGACAAAACTCTTGTGACCGGGAGCATCTAAAATTGTGAAATGCTTCTTTTCAGTTTCAAAATAGGCACGACCCACTTCTACTGTTTTCCCCTTGTCTCGTTCTTCCTGATTTGTATCTAAAGCCCAGGACAGATACCAAGTTTCTCTGTTTTTTTCTTTAGCTTCTCTTTCATATTTCTCAAGAGTCCTTTTGTCAACCATCCCTGTCAGAAACATGATTTGTCCCCCAATGGTGGACTTGCCGGCGTCTACATGCCCAATGAATACCACATTTACGTGTTCTTTCTTAGGAGCACCTACGGATACGGCCACAGACTTGTGTTTTTTCATTTCCTCCTTCTCCATCATTTCCTGGCCACTTTCTTCTGGGGGCCCCGAATCTCCTAAGGAGCTACCCCCGGGTTCGTTTTCACTTACTTCGTTATTGTGCTCCCATGACTCTTCCAGGACCATCTCCACCTCTCCATTTTCTACAACAGGTTCTGAAAGTTCCATGGTAACCGCTGAATTGGAACCTGCACGCAACACTAACTGCTCCTTCTGGGCATGTTCCACAGGTGCCCCCCGTAAAAGCCTTTTACCTTGAGCGTGTCCCGCGCGGGTGCAGGTCTCACCCATGCCGGCGGTGTCGGTCGGGGGGGTCTGCGGCTGGGCCGGGCCCCGCAGGAAGGACGGCACGAACTCCGCGGCGTGTACGTTAGGCACGAAGGGTTTGGCGTTGACGTTGAGCTGTCGGCTGAAGGCTGCGCTGAGGTGCTCGCGCGGGGCCGGGGCCGCGGCCACCGCCGAGGAGGCTCGGTCCCCGCTCGGGGCCGGACCCGGGATTTCCATGTCCACCTGGTCCCAGCAGTCGGGTGCCGAGTCGCTGCTGCTGCTGCCGGGATCCATGGTCTGGGAACCTGATGGGCAGCAGGAAGGGAGCGGGGTCAACGGGCCAGAAAGAGCGCGCAGGGCCGGCGGGGCTAAGGCAGCGAGAGCCGAGGGGCCAAGGGGGAGCGACACGAACCTTAGCGGCAGCGCCGAGGCAGCGAAATCCCGACACTGCATTCGCAGCTGCGGCGGCAGCGGCAGATATGGCGGCGGAGCCCTCTCCTCTTGTGTGTAAGCGGATCTCCTCCCCCAAACCCCAACCACTTCCGACTCCTCCACCGCCGACCCTGCGCCTGGCGCGGATTGACCCCTCGCTGCCACCCGTATGCTCAGCCCCCTAAGCGCTTAGGCAGGGGCGAAGTCCAAAAGTAGGTTGTTTTTTTTTTTGAATGAATGAATGAATGAAAATTCCCATTCACTTTTTGTTCACAAGAGCTGGGAGCGCAATTTGACCATAATCTAATGATAAAATCTAGACAGGCACACCTGACTTACAGGTCTTGAGAATCCAAGTAAAAATGAAGGTTCCTATTGAAAGAATGGGAGGAAGCGGGATAGGATGACCGACCCAGGTCAACAACCTTAGCCCAAAAACCTAAGGTAGAAATTAGACACTAAGGAGGCACTCATGAGATACGGAAAAGTGTAGCTGCATTTAGGGAATGCAACTTAAGTTCACGCATTAATTTGAAACCCAGAGACCTTTTGATTTGCCCTTTTCCAATGGGGTCCCTGCAAGCCTGTAACTTCTGCTGATGGAGTCTATGGTGTAAAGATAGGATCCTAACTTCTTTCCAGGTTAAGCACTTTGGCTCTCTGCCTAGAAGAAATTCCCAAGAAAACTCCGTCCCAGTGGAGCTGTGCAACCTATAACATTTTCACATCCTTCATATGCAGGTGCCAGGACAATGCCTGGTCTGTGAGGCTGGGTGGTGGCAAGCACTGGACTCAGATCACTTGTATTCGTCTAACCAACTGTACTCCGGGTTTACGGGTTTATTGGTCCCACTGACCAGCACCTCTCCAGGCTTTCCTAATTCATTCTCGGGCCCTGGGACCCTATCAGGTAAAATAGTCTCAGTACTACCGCCATCAGTATTGTTGCAGAAAACCTGTTCGTTTGCTTTTTCATAAACTCTCCATATTTTCTACCAGTATGTCACAATCAAACTGCATCTGTCTAATGATAACTCACTTCTGTTGAATGTTACCTAGAGATTGGTCATATTTCAATTATTTTCTATGAGTTCTCTCATTTAATTTCCCCTATCATGCTGTGAGGAAGGCAATCTTATGGCTTTACTTTACAAATAAGAAGTAGATGTCTAGAGAAGCTGTGTGGACATCACATAGCTAATAAATAATGAACTTGGTGCACAAGCCATAAGATTGTAAGGTCATATTAGCTTGTAACATCTACTATATATAGGAAAGTAATAGGGAAAACAGCAAGGTTTAAATCATAAATAGGAGAATAGGGCAAAGTCTGAGATTATCTAGACAGAAAGGAAATATGGGTGAATTGAAGAGAGAGAGGATAATTCAGCAGAATTCTTTTTGAGGATTTATCTTTTCCTCCTGAAGTAGGAGATAATCATGTGGAGATAGTGAGGAGGATCACAATAAGAAAAATGAGGACTGGAAGGAGATTCAGAATAAACTTTTAGGGTGTGGGGTAGGTAGTTCACTTGGAAGAAGAAGTATTATTTTCTTAAGAACTCCAATAACAAAAGAAGGCTAGTACACCTTGGGTGGGCACATAGACCACATGGAGGTTTCTCAGAATATTAAAAAAATAAGTCTATCATATGACCTAGCAGTACCACTCCTAGGTATCTATATGAAAAATGCAAAAACAATAATTCAGAAAGATATATGTGCTGCTATGTTTATTGCAGTCCTACCTACAATATCAAAATTGTGGATACAGCCTATGTGCCCAAGGACAGGAATAGATTAGAAAAATGTGGTTTATATACATAATTTAATACTAATCCACTATAAAAAAAGAATTATTGCCATTTGCAACAAAGCAGATGAAATGGGAGGGGATAACGCTAAGTGATAAATCAGGAGACAGATAAATACTGGATGGTTTCACTAATATGTGAAATACAGAAACAAACATAGGGTCAAAAAACACCAAACAGTAACAAACTCTAGAAAAGGCTGAAAGGAGTGAAAGAAGGAAAACCACAGTGTGGAAGGGAAACAATATATATTATGGGGACTATAGGCACTTGGGGGTTGGATGTCATATGGTGAAATGCATGGGAAGAAGTGTGATCCCATGCCTCTGACTCACATACAGAGTTGTAAACCAATGTTATCCTAATAAAAAAAAAAAGTTGTCAGTTAAAACAAGAATTCCATTAAAAAATATTAGAGTTTTAAAATCCATTCTTTTTGGGCTTGGGGCTATAGGTCTATTCTTGGTATCTCAGAATGATTATCATTCTCATACAGCAGAATTGGTCCTCACAGAATTGGTCCTCAGAGCAGAATTAGTGTGTCTGCCCCACAGCTGAGGAGTTCCAATCATGGATTAGATGGATTAGATGGATTAGAAGAATCAGCACTGTCAAATGGTTACTCTACTCAAAGCAATGTACAAATTCAGTGCGATCCAAATAAAGCATGTCAATATCATTCTTCAAAGAACTGGAAGAAACCCTACTAAATTCATGTGGAATCACAAAGACCACAAATAACCAAAATAATTCTGACAGAAAGGAAAAGTATTGCGCACAGCATACATCCAGATGATAAACTATGCATAAACCCATAATAATTAAAGCAGCATGGCACTGTAAAACAAAACCGATCACAGACACACAGACCTATGGAACAGAATTGAAAGCCCCGAAATAAATGCACAATAATACAGACAGTTAACATATGACAAAAGGGACCAAGCAAATACATTAGAACCTCTTCAATAAATGGCGCTGGGAAAACTGGACACACTATCTCACCCCATACACAAAAATCAATTGACTTAGAGGTTCTGGTCTAATTGGACAAATGTCTTCCTTAGACAATAGTACTAGTGAAATTTCCTGCTCACCAAAAGGCAAAAAAATACCTATAACTGAAGCCAACAGTTGGCCATGAAGTATCATGACTTCCACTCCTCAAATGTGCCAGACACACTAGTGCCCAGTGAGGACCAATTCTGCTATATGAGAATGATAATCACTCTGAGATATCAGGAATAGACCTATAGTTCCAAGCTCTAAAAGAATGGACTGTGAAACCTGTAAAACCTCTAACTCCCCAAATGACCCATTGCATTAACTACGTAAAAATTGTTAACAGCAACCAAATCCTGGCTAGTACAGGTGGTGAAAGTGTGCGGTTAAAACACGGCAATTGTTATGTCTAAATATTTTCTTTGTTAAATTTTCATACATATTCTGATATCAGTTTTGTTATCTCATAATAGAGATGACACCATATCCACCAGTAACCAGCATGCTAGTTGCAAGGGTACAAAAAGGTCCGAAAAGAAAAAGCAAGCATATATTACAGGAAACTTCAACAGTTTCATCATTTCACTCACACACCACTAGTATAGTAACATGTGGGAGAGCAACCCCATGTTGCTGGTGGATTCCAGCTAGCCAAGCCCTAGGAGTACCCACGCAGAAAAAAGCCTAATCTGCAGGCTAAGAGGAAAATCATGCTTCTCCATTCTGACAACATTCCTTTGACTTGCTGTGTCCACGCCACACCACGCTCCAGGAGATTCTTGTCCACTGCCTCGCTACTGGCGCGACAAGTACAACGCCAAAATTGCCACTGCAACCCTGTGGCCTTCATATCGACTGACACACAGGTGAGAGAGGAGCCCAGCCAGAGAGGAGTCTAATTTGGGGGTTAAAGGCAGAAAGTAGCTCTGTAGCATCACAGGATGGTGACGCAATGGTGACGCAATGGCCGTGCAGATCGTAACAGCCCTGTGTAAATATTACTGCCAGGTCTCAGGGTAATGGCATAATTTCTAGGGGTTGCCTAGATCCCGGAGCACTTACCGCGACACTTACACAGCCATGTGCACCCAAGCGATCCTGCAAACACGTGCGTCACACAGCCCAGGATTGTACGCCCTAACGTTCAGACGATCTTGTGTGGGGCTCACTGACAACAACACAGGAGAGGCCGTCCTCTGCCACATGTAGATCCAGAAAACACAAATTAGGGAAAAGGAGGCTAGTCTCCGAAGGGTCTCTGCATGACCGAAGCCCCACCAGCCAGTCCTCAAAGTGCACAGCCATGATTGGAAAAACCACAGAGACTGCGAAGCCCAGAGCACAGTCCTGGTGATTCACTGAGTATATGGTCCCATGAGAGGGCTGGTCCAATGATGGGGTTGGGGGGATGCTGTGGAGAAAGGGGGGATGAAACGGTGCAAAGGTCTGGGAAGTAGAGCAACAGCAGATGATGGCGGAGGGAGCCCAGAGAAAGCCCTAGAGCGAGAATGGACAGTATGCAAGCAAGTGAATTTTCAGAAGAGCCGCGAGAAAATTCCCCTCACCTGCCTAGCCACCATCACCAGTTCCCACCAGCAGAGTAGTTCCTCGGAAATGTCTCTGTCTGAAGCTGTAGTAACACTATAACAACACCAGAGACAGCAAAGGGGGAAAGTCGATATGAAACCTCCCGTGGAGGGAAGAGAACAGAGCAGTGTTAGAAGGAAGGACTAGGTCAATGTCGATATACTTCACTCAGTGACTTGACTGCATTTGCTGAGAGCCAGTTGGCTCCTGTCCCTGTGCCTGTGTAGGTAGATCCCAGTAATGAATCTGCTTGCCACAGGCAGGAATTGAACATCAACAATAACAGAAAAGCATTTGAAGACATCAGCTGTGAGCAGACGTTGGGCTCATGGTGGGTCTAAAGGAGCAGCACCCCGTGGCCGTCAGGTCGAAAGGGCAGGGAAGACATTTGTGATTTTTTAAATTGGGCAGGCAGAGGCAGAAAACGAAATAATTTTCCTGTGTTTGGCATGTGAACTGTAGCAATGATTAGCAAACAGTAGACGAGGGGGGCCCCTCCTTGAAGAACTTCTAATAAGTGCAGAGAGGTAGACAGGACGATAACATCTGCAAGCAAGCTTCAGTGACAGGAGTGCTGTGGGCACTGAGCACCGATGTCTGCTCCCCTTACCAAAC